TGTGTGTATATCAGGAGAAAACGGGTTTGAAATATCTAGGTAGTGTGCTTTTTTCAAGAAAATCCATCATCTACCAATAATGTATAAGTAAGTCCTCCACTTCAATTCTAATCCATCTTAACCCTCAATTATCTTAAATATAAAATAAACCCCAAGAAAATAAATTATTCCAATTAAGTCCATATTTGACATTGACCTTGACAATTCAACCCTTGACTTTGACTATAAAAAAAAGGTTTGTAACATGACTTACCAGAAAACTTGCATCTTTATATTAGGGGTCCCAAGTATAAGTTCAAAAACAATTTGTCCATTTGAGGTCCACAGGTATAACTATATAGTATGATACGATTGATAACTATAGTCAAACAAACTATTCTTCATCTCACCTGAAATTCTCCAATGCCAGGGAAAACCCATCCTTGAGTTTCAGGATATGATGGATATCTTAGCTCTCCTGCAGGGCTTAGTCCCACCTCAATGTCAACGATGGTTCCCGCTTCCAAAATATTCGACATGTTCTCGCTAAAGCTCTTCATGTAATCACTATAAATCTACACAATGCATTTATATATTTGAAAAATGTATAATGCTGAAGAGTTGATATTACTAATTACACATCCGACCTATCAGGCTATCACAAGTCATACCTGGACAGCAGTTCGACCACCAAAGAGAGGCAAGTTATCCACACCAAGTGAGAGGTACTCTTTGTCCCTATTACCTGATCGGTTAGTGTAGAAAATATCAGCATCTTCTTCTCCGACAGCAAGTACCCAATCTGGGATAGGAATGTACACAACATCCCCTACATTGCCACCACACTGGTGGAATGACATTATAGCCTGTATTTTCAATTCACATTTTTGAACAAGTTGGAACAATTTCCTGTAGGAAGTCTAGTCATACTGTTTGGGACCTTTGGCCTCGATAATTCCCCCCCAGACATCTACCATTACACCATCAACTCCAGCAGCTTTTAGCTGCTCCTCCAGCTTTTATTGGCCTGGGAATTTGTTTTATCTGGTGACGACTCCTAGCTGTCGTTGAAGAGCAAAGAAAAATGTGTACATTAGAGATATGTTTGGTACTGGCACTGGATTGTATGTTTCAAAATATAACAGTTTTGAGACTTACCTGAAGCATTACATAAAGTGGCACATAATTTGCTAACTTGGTGCTGCCAGATTTTGAAGCCATTCTCTTGACAAGGAGGAAGGGAAAAGTAATAGTTTTCTTTGATGTGAATGAAATTGAAGATGCTATTATTCAATCATGATTGCATCCTTTATATAGAAGGTTGGAGGATTTACTGTGTTGGAAAAGGAGGGATACCTAAAAAAAATCTCGAGTAAAGACATGCAGAATGGCTAAAAATATATGGCATCTTATCCACATTTAAGCAATTAATGGCGTTTTCTGGTTAATAATGAAAGAAGGGACAAGATAGATCGCACCGACAGTTATGCACGTCCCAATTAATCAAACGTGCGTATATGACATAATTAGTGTGCATATGCTTGCCCTTGTATATGTGTATAATAGTACAAGATAGTAGATTTATTACATGCTTGTTTGCAATAACTTAAAAAGTTCAGGTCGAAATCAATTAATTTTAACCGCGTATTTCATGATATCCACGACTTTTATCAATTTTTCAACCACACATTTTATCGATTTATGTCAAATTTCATTGAACTTTTATTAAAAACTTTGTCAAACAACATAATGACTAACTTGTGAACATATTATTTTATCTTGTACATCAATTATCTTCCGGTAAAAGAAAAAATATGTCACATGTGCATCGTAATTCGTTGTTGAAGGATAACACTGATGACTCTATTCAACTGCATGGTTCTTACTTACTACCATGTTGATATTTATCGTAAATATGAAACGAAAGTGGTTGCAATAACTAGAAACGGATGAATATGTTGGTAATTGGGAACAAACAATCCCGATATTCATTAAATAGAGTAACATATTATTAAGTCCATGTCTGGTTTTGCTGAAAATCATATTTTCGTAGATTTTTATAAAAATTGATGAAATGCGTGGTTGAAAAGTTAATAAAAGTTTTGGTCCTATGAAACGTGTACTTAAAATTAATTGCTATTGGAAAATGAAGGAGACCACAAAAAAATCTTGAGTAAAGACATGNNNNCAAAAAAATCTTGAGTAAAGACATGCAGAATGGCTAAAATCTATGGCATCTTTTCAAGTTGTGGTTGATTTAAGCAAGCCATGGTGTTTTCTGGTTAATAATGAAAGAAGGGACAATAATGGATCACATCGACAGTGATGCATGTCTCTCTTATTCAAACGTGCGTATATCATATTGCAGGGTTTTGCTTGTGAAAATACTAATAACCAATCATATTGGAGATTGAATGTTGAGTGTAATTGTTTCGCGCGGGTAGTTTCGCGCGGGTAGTGACTATTTAATTTGGACTGCACTTTTAGTGTGTCAACAGTAATCCTTATCTTTGGCCAATGAGGATGAACTGTCCGGATTTTTTAATCGTCGAACTTGGTTGAATTAATTAACCCAATATTGATTACTTAACCAGATAGGCGCAGAGTTTACGAGAACTCGGCTTGTGATATTTGAGCTTGGTCACAAAAATCCGTTGAGACCTTTAGATAGCTCCCATAAAAAGGATAGCACAGGTGTTTACCTAACTCGGGCTAGGTAACGTGTGTTCTCTTCTGGGGAGAGAACACACAAGCACTGCAAACCACCAATCCTCTTAGCAACAGCAGCACCAGCAATGCCCAATCATCACAAACGACTGCCCCAATGCCAGTAATTCCTCCATCGAACAAACTGCAGCATTCTTATTTAGCTTAAATATTCCAATCGCGGGAAGTGGAAACCGAACAAGAATTATGTATATATGTTGATACCGCTTATTATGAATAAAAGAAATGAAATTATATGGCAATATATAAAATAGCAATCACAAACTCAACTTCAAGTTTGTATAATAAATAATTATATGTTCTAACTTATCGTTTTTAAACATTATCTCGTCTACAATTTCTAACATGCGGAACAGGGTTAAAATAACCAAAACATCATTTTCCAAATATGTATAAAGCCTAAAATTCCATATTCAGTTTGATGTGATCATATCGTGATGTTTATTCAACCATCGATGTCATATTACTAAGTTCAAGTTTAACTGGCCTCCACAAAATCATTTTTGGTCATGATCTTGTACATGACAGATTTCATCATGTAAATATATATTTTTGATATTTTACTTTATGATTAAACTACTTGTATACACAAAGTGTACACCTTGATTGGTATCCCCTAGGTGTCGAAAATATGACAGTTGATTGAAAAAAAAAAATGTTATCAAAATCAATGTACTGTAATCTGTCAACTCACGTGAGTGTAAACAAATGTGTTAACCCTTATGTACTTGTAGCATGATCGTTTACTTTAATCTCCAATTCACCTAGATATTGACAGGTAATTTGATCGGGCATGGCATTGTAGTAGTTAAGTAGAAGATTAATGACATTCTTGTAGTAGATCACAATGGGAACAAAGCTGACATTGCCAGCTTCATCAAAAGGACGACGGACAGAAATGCTATTGGGCTTGACTCCCAATATACACCCCTCCCCATAAATATCGATTAGTAATTGTAGTGAAATTACAAATTTACAAAATAAATGTGATTCTTAACGGAGTAACCTTCTCGTTCGTTCAATGGAGCTAAAACAGGATGCCTGTCGAAGCCCGAAGGTATCAATCATTTTAAAAATCATTAGTTTAACCGTTACTATGCTAGAAGATATAACGGTCATTAGGCTAATACAGTGACCAATTATGTAATATTAATTATATTATTTAATTTTTGTGACTAAATGGGTTATAAATACGCTTTAATGACCAATTTGAAATTTTGCTTGAGACTAATAGTGAAATTAACTCCAAATGAAAATAACTTGAAAGCTAGAAGCAACGATATGACTCATCACATGCAATCTAAAGGTGTCAAGACGGACGGGTCGATCAGATCCGTGAAAATCGGCCCGGACCGACCCGTGACCCGAGCTGGTGATTTACGGGTCAAGGAGGTGTGACCCGCGGGTTTCGCGGGTTGCACCTTCACGGGCCGCGGTTAACCCGCTGACCCGTGAAATTTTTATTTTTTTTTTAAATTTGAAAAAAAGAAGGGGATTCTAAGTATAATAGCTCTA